GTGTCATCATTTTGAAAAACCCTAACTTAACTCTGGTGCCGTGTCACATATAGAAATTTTTTGATATTTTCAACCATGGTAAAACAAAGATATATATTTTTGATATTTATTTTATATATTTAAATGCCATTTAACAAAGAAAAATCAACCAAAAAAATGAGTTCGCTTGTCACCTCTGACATGCATGTCATAGGTTTGCCATCACTAGTAACCCACGGTCACAAAGATCTTCTCTTATGTTTTCTTCTATAAGTTTCATAATTTTGTCTTTTATGTTTAAGTCTTGATCCATTTCGTGTTAATTTTTGTATACAGTGTTAGGTATTGTTCATTTATTTTCATGTGGCTATCCAATTTTCCAGTGGCACCATTTATTGAAAAGACTATCATTTCCCCCACTAAATTGACTTGGTACCTTTGTCAACAATAATGTGAAGATTTACTTATGTGCTCACTAGTCACTTACATTAATTTATTAGTGTGTTTCATACCCCACTCCATATTGAGTCAGCCCATGGCAGCAGAGCTGCTGGATTTTGTGGCCATCCTTGTGCTGATAATACTGCTATTCTCACCTATCAAGATGAAGAGAGGGATGGAGTTGGCTTCACTCATAAAGACCTCATACTTTCACTGTTTTTCCAAAAATCTATGGCATCTTCCAAAAATAAATACTTCTAAACTTGTTGTTTGCTTTGGTCAATTGTCAGGATCCTGAAATGGTTATTTTTAATAATTTTGTCTAGTTTCATTGATGTTATATAGAAAGGATGTTCTGATATCTTCTCATGGCCATCCCTGGAATTTCCTCCCCAACACTCATATTTAGGGGAATGAATAGGCATATTGAACTTCATCTTAACACACCTACTCACAGTAGTTTTTTAAAACTATATTAAAAGGTAATCTTTGGAATATCTGAATCCACATGGCAGGCTGATTCTATCTGTTTATGCTCTGATCCCTCCAGAATGTCACCAAAATAAAATAGTGGGATAAAAAATTAAAAAATCTACAATGACAGAGAATAGAAGAAAAACAGAAAAGTAACCACAGATAATCCAGGGCAGTGAATGCAAAAAAAAAAAAGCCAATATTAAAGACATATTACTAAAAATTTCAGAACACAAGCTATAAAGAAAGGCTTCTAAAAGCTTCCAGAGCAAGGAAAGAAATATTCTGTATAAAGCATAGAGAATTTGAAGTTATATAGAAAGGATGTTCTGATATCTTCTCATGGCCATCCCTGGAATTCCCTCCCCAACACTCATATTTAGGGGAATGAATAGGCATATTGAACTTCATCTTAACACACCTACTCACAGTAGTTTTTTAAAACTATATTAAAAGGTAATCTTTGGAATATCTGAATCCACATGGCAGGCTGATTCTATCTGTTTATGCTCTGATCCCTCCAGAATATCACCAAAATAAAATAATGGGATAAAAAATTTAAAAATCTACAATGACATAGAATAGAAGAAACAACAGAAAAGTAACCACAGATAATCCAGGGCAGTGAATGCAAAAAAAAAAGCCAATATTAAAGACATATTACTAAAAATTTCAGAACACAAGCTATAAAGAAAGGCTTCTAAAAGCTTCCAGAGCAAGGAAAGAAATATTCTGTATAAAGCATAGAGAATTTGAATGACATTGAATGTCTCAACAGCAGCCCTGGAAACCAGAAGAAAATAGAACAACATTTTTACACCTGGGATTCTATATCCAGCCAAAATATTATATAATTTGGAGATAATATGATCAGATTTTCAGACATGCAATGCCTCAAAAATGTATCTGCAGCTTCACTCTCTTTCAGGAAATTACTGAAGGACATGCTACAACAAAATGAGGGAGGAAACGAAGAAAAAAAAGTATGTGGATACAGAAAAAGGAGTTGTAAGAGATCCCCAGACAAAGATAAAGACAAGTCCTAAGATATCTTTGCACAAGCCTGACAAATACCAGATCCAACTCGAGCAAGAAGCATGAAAATTTCAGAAAAGTCTTTCTAAGAAAAGAAATGGAAGCCAACTGAACATTTTACTTTTTCCACAGAACTGAAAAATCTCAAAGTAGTTATTGTGGGATTTGTACATAGAAAACTATGCAAATAAAAACAATATAATTATTAAACCTTGTGAAAATGAAATTAGTACAAGAAACAAAATGTAATTATAATGCACATGTGATTCAGCTATGAATTATTTTTATAGCATCATTATATAAACATTAACTTTTACATTAAAATGATAATGTTATTAAATTACAAAGAGAAAGAAAATGAATGAGGAGAGGGATGCAGAGCTAGCGATGAAAAAATAACCATCTTCCATATAAAGAAGACAGTGAGTATCTAAATTGAAAAAAATTAAAATCAAGAACATCAGTACAAATTTTTTATTTAAAAATATTAAAGAGATAAAATAGCCCTAACCGATTTGGCTCAGTGGATAGAGAGTCAGCCTGCGGACTGAGGGGTACCAGATTTGATTCTGGTCAAGGGCATGTACCTTGGTTGCGGGCACATACCCAGTAGGGGGTGTGCAGGAGGCAGCTGATCGAGTTTCTAACTTCTATCCCTCTCCCTTCCTCTCTGTAAAAAATCAATAAAATATTTTTTTTAAAAAAAGAGAGAGATAAAATAGGAAGCACTAAAATTATTGAAATAATTTTCTTGAGGGAATAAAAATCAAAAGTGGGGTGGGAACAGCAAGAGGCTCATATGCCAATTAAAACCATTTGATTGTTGTCCTGGCCAGGTGGCTTGATTGGTTGGAGCATTGTCCCATGCACCAAAAGGTTACAGGTTCGATCCCTGGTTGGGGCATGTACCAGAGGCAACTGATTGATGTTTCTCTCTCACAGCTATGTATCCTCAGTGAGGGTTAAAAAAAAAACATTTTAAATTTTTAAAATATGCTTTTATAAGTATAAAACTTAAAACAAAAAAATAAAATAATATTATGAGTGTGTTTATCATGTTGCTTTCTAAATATGTGTCATTTTAAAAGCCATTCTACTAATTTCCAGTTTTTACAAATGGCATTTAATTAAATTAATCCACAAGAGAGAACTTTAATCCAATAAGATACGTACGTGAATGGACCAAGACCAAACCAGGTCCAAAGTTGAGTTATTTCAGTTTATCAAGAAATTCCTTCAGGAGGTGAGGTTGTCATGTTGTTGCTATCCTGTTTTAAGTAGAAAACAGATTTGCCTTAAGATATGCTTGTTTCATATCCTATATTTATTTCCCTCCAGATATCTCCTAAGCTGGATGCATCATAATTAAAATGCACAAGAACAGATGTTGCTCGGTCTCTGTCAGGCACTAAGTTTTTTGATGTGTCATTCCTTCCAGTAACTGTGCATGAGTATCAGAAGAATGGTGTATTAGCTTCCCAGAGCTGCCATAACACATTACCACAAATTGGATGGCTTAAAACAACAGACATTTATTATCTCACAGTCATGAAGGCCAGAAGTACCAAATGAAGGTGTCAGCAGGACTAAGCTCCTTCTGAAGCCTCAAGAAAGATGCAGCCTTGCCTCTTCTAGTTTCTGGTGGCTTCAGGTGTCCCTTAGCTTGTGGCTGCATAACTTCAATCTCTGCATCTGTCTTTCAGGGCCTTCTCCTGTTGTCCCTGTGTTTCTTCTTTGGGTGTCACTTGTAAGGACACTTGTCATTAGATTTAGGGCCAACCTAGATAATCCAGGATTATTTCTTCTTGAGATCCTTAGCTTAATTTCAACTGCAAAGACAATCATGTTCACAGGGCCCAGTGATTACAGTATAAACATCTTTTATAGGGCCACCACTCAACAGATGATCTCAGACTTCTGGCCTCCAGAACGGTGAGATGATAAATTTTTGTTGTTTAAGCCACTCAGTTTGTGGTTCTGCGTCACAGAAGCCCTAGGAAACAAATGCACCTATATTTCTTAGACTGAACATTGCCTCTCTTAAGGATAATTCTTTATTAGGCTTTCCCATGATCTGTAAGGTCCTACTTGAAAAGTAGACCCAAACTCCCACTGATCCAACTATAGTTAATATGCCTCTTCAAGAATTGAGAAGATAAGGCATCTGCCTACTATATGTGATTCTGGTTCTAGGTTTTCAGTATCTTACTATGACTAAGCTATTTATACAAGTTATGGGTAGATGGAACATATAAGTGTGTGGATGAATAGATAGATGATAGATAGATGATAGATAGATACCTCTATCACTGTAACTTTCTTATCTATATCTATCATGCTTTTTAATAAATATAATACCATTAGCTTTTTCTCCATTTTATCAAACACTTGCTACAAACATCATTTTAATAAAATTGTTATGTCATACTTTCTCATGTTTGTATTTACTAAGGTTTTCCAACCTTTAGGTATTTTTAGGTAACTGATGCTCCTTTCCCCTTTTTGTGACATCTTTTCAAATACAGCTCTGTCCAAATTTCAGAATATTTTCTTAAGACAGAAGGGCAATTACTAGGCCGAATGCTATAAACATTTTTAATATTCTTGATACTTATTGCCAAAATTGCTTGCAGTAAAGCTGGTATTCTTTCCTCTGGGGTTCAATCCCAAGAAAATTATTTGTAGCAAGAGAAGGAAATAAAGTCATGAAGAGCGGTGGGAGTTTTGCTGTTTATAAATATTTCCTTAGAAAAAACTCAAAGCCATACATACTGCTTATGTAACGGGGAGGTAATTCAAGAAAACTCTGGCTCAATCTGTCTGGAACCCCAACATTTAACCGCAGATAAGGTATTAAATTGTCAGCTCATGTACTGAGCAGAAGGCGTCTCTATCGTCTCTGTTCCTTGGAATGTTTCTACTGACCTGCACCCTTGATTATTTAGTTCAGAGATAATTTTCAATAAACTCTTGTCACTTGAAAATAAACAATCTGGACAATGTAGGGTCCGTTTGGAATACTGACAAGATAAACAACCAAGGATGTGTCTTCTTCTCTTTGCAGGCCGTTTTGGAATGTGTGCTCCAGAGACTTCACTTTCTTCCCCAAAGAGAAGATTTTATTTCAAATAAAGCTGTTTACTTGGCACCTCTGGGCAACCCTTTTTGGAAGAGCCACAGCCATGGGTGGCTTTGGAGTCTCACCTCGAAGGCACAAGTTCATCCTGCTCGTGCTGTTTCTTTTGCACATTCCGAGTCTGGGTCTGGACATGGAAAGTCATCCTACCACTGAAGTCTGTGCCACACACACCATTTCACCAGGACCCAAAGGTAAGGCAGGAAAAGTAAACTTTCCATCTCTAATAAGGAGGCTGTCTTCCTTCAGCTCTCAGCCCCATTCTAGCTCTCAATGACTTTCTCTTCTCTCCTCGCTAGTTCCTTCCATTTTTCATCTATTTTGGAAAATCAATGACCTATTATTTTTAAATCTCCCTTGATGTTAGGTAAGAGAATATTAGGAGGGGATGGGCCCGCAGAGGAGGGATGTGATGGAACTGATCCAGGGCAGGGGGACATTTCCGTGTTGCTCTAGAGGAAGACACACTAGCAAGATACTAGTATTCAGGAATCCTTTCCTTTAAAGCCCAACTCCTTTCTCATGCTGTGCTGCTAAAGCCACTAGGCAAAAGCTCAGTGAAGTAAATAGTAAACCTTTTGAATATTTCATAAATGAATGGGCTGCTGGGTTCCAATGCAGAGGAAAAGTTTTGTCGAGGATTGGAGGTAGTATGCAAATGAACATTTCTTTATTTGAAAGCAAAGTCTTTGGGACCAAGTGCCTTCAGCTGAGGGATGATAGAACATTGCAAGATTTTTTTCAAGTGGAGCCAAGGTCTAACTGTGCTTCAAGCAACTGGTTGATGAAAAGTGCTGCTGTTTTCCTGGTTTCAGCTCTGACCCTTTGGTTCTGAAAGTGGTCACTGCAGTACAAATTGGTGCTCTCTCATTAGTAATTCATGCGCTGTTTCTCCAGGCTATAGGGCAGAAGAATTACAGCTGCTTAAAATTTTAAGTAGAAAAGGGGTCTTTAAAAAAAAATCCTGGAAATGCATCGCCCTATGCTTGTCAGTTATTTAAATGTGTATTGCTTAAAGTGCATTTTTCTTAATCAGTGAATTAATTTCCTCATAAGATTGCAATCCAAGTTTTAACCTTTGCTACCACAAAATGAATGCAGGGGGAACAATGAGACCTTGGGGCTTCCTAATAATTTCTTGGGTGAATTAATGAATAATCTGAGGGCAAATGTTTAGAAAAGAAAGTTTTGATGAGAAGTAAAGTGTTTACTTAAAACCATTACTGAACTTTCCATAGAATATAGGAAACTTTGTATTACTCCTAGGGTATCATGGAGAATGCTGAAAATTAACACTTCCCCTGTTCCTGCAAATAGGAGAATCCACTTAGTAGTAGAACTGTTAAAATGTTTTTCTTGTAGAGAAACTGCAGTTTTCAAACTGGAAGAAGAATGGACAAAGTGTTGTTAAAATAATGTCCAAAATATAATGTTCAACAATTCTATTCATTCCAATTCAGTGAACATATATTGAATATACACTAAGTGCCAAGCATTCTTTTCAGCACAAGAATATGCTTAATATGCATTAAATACTATATATTAATGTCATGAGTGATGAAGAGATACATATATGATTTAGGAGGGAGATCAGAGGGTAACTAATATTTGTTAGATGCCAGTAGGGTGTCTACCATAAGAGTGTGTACCCTCATTTCTTTGCTTAATAGAAAACATCTCCATTCACATTAGAAACTCTATTAAGATTTCAAACAATGGAAACCTCTGTAACACTCTTTCTGAGCCTGTGTGGAAATCATGAGATCATTACAAGCCAGGAATGTGACAGAGTGAAGAAGTGAGTGCTCCTGGGGAAGAAAGGTTTGGGGATTTCTTACAAACCCTGTGTTCCAGAACCAAGTCTGTTAAGAACCCAATTTGATTGCTTCTTATTCCCCCAGAGCCTGGGGGCTTTTCATCCAATGGACTCTAAGTTCCTTTCTTATTAAAGACATCCCATGATTCTGGAATGTACTGACTACCTACTATGTGCCAAGCATCATGTGAGATGCTAAAGGTTTCCAACTAAGGAAGAACTTGAACTTGTCCTAGAACTTATATCTACATTTCCAGCTGGGGATTAGATTGCAAACTCTTGGCATCAGGGCCCAGCTAGCTGTGTGTGTGTGTGTGTGTGTGTGTGTGTGTGTGTGTGTGTGTGTGTGAATTGTCTATGTGCACATGGTGCAACATGAGCATAGTCACTACTATCCTGCCTCTGCTCTGGGCACCGTCTAAATGTGTGCACAATAACAAATAAGACATTTTCTTCTCTCAAGATATAAACTGCCATCTACCCTACCTGGTCCTTTCATCAACATGGTGATAGTCCCTCCCCACTCCTGAACAAGGCAGATTTGTATACTTAGCTCTACAAAGTGAAGGGGCGGGAGGGAAATACAAAAAGACAAAGTTTGATGGCCAAGTAAACATTTTAAAGGGCTGTTATTTCTGCTCAATACATTATTTCTAAGATCAAGCTGTTCTATACTCTTCCCCATGGCTCGTCATCGTAATTCATATTTACCAGCAGTGAGCTCAGAAACTTCTATACTCAAACAGACAATACAAGGAGTTTTCCCCACATTCATTTGTAGAGCCTGGGAACTAAAAAATTACTTAGCATTGCAGGTGAAAAACCAGTTAGGTTAACCCCTCATATAATATGTTGCCCAATATAGAGACACCATATTTCACTGCATTATTTCCCAAGCGTGACTAGATTCAACCTGTTTGGTCTTCAGGATATTATTACATCTATTTATGCTTATTTGTAAAATGGACCTTAATCATAGACCTATTTTTAAAATAATGTAAGATAATCACTATAAACTTAAAGCTGTATAGACATCGTAAGTAGGTACTTAAATTCTGTTTATCTTTCCTTCCTCTCCCTATGTAAGTCTGTTGGCTAACAATTTTGAGATAAGAATTATTCCAGTTATCAAAAATTCTTTGTGTAAAGCTACCTTTATTTTTATTTCTTTGCCTTCAATTTGTTATTTTATTCTGCTTAGTAGGTAAATGTTTTTGGTGGGTTGTTTTGTTTTGTTTTTTCCTACCTTGGTAGTTTCTTTAAACAATTTATGTGAAATTCTGACCTCTAGTGGTTTTACTTAAAAACAACAATGACAAGAAATTTTAACAGAATATGTTAAAAAGAATTTTAAAACCAATAAGAAATATTGAGCCCTAACCGGTTTGGCTCCGTGGATAGAGCATCGGCCTGCGGACTCAAGGGTCCTGGGTTCAATTCCGGTCAAGGGCATGTACCTTGGTTGCGGGCACATCCCCAGTAGGGAGTGTGCAGGAGGCAGCTGATCGATGTTTCTCTCTCATCGATGTTTCTAACTCTCTATCCCTCTCCCTTCCTCTCTGTAAAAAATCAGTAAAATATATTTTAAAAAAAGAAATATTCAGGTGATGCTTTACAATTTCTAATGACCTTTAAGATACATTATCTTGTTTAATTGCTCTTTGAGGTAGTAATTACTTTAAACTTAAAGATAAGGAAACTATCAGTGAGGCCAAGCAAAGTGCCCAAGGTCTTTCAAGTAGATATAGTCTAGTCATGCAACTTGAACTTTATCTCTACCTTCTGGCTCTGGGTCCAGTGTCATTCCATGACATCCACTGGTTTATGTTAGAATCCAGTTTGAAGACAGTCCACTGCCCCTTTTTTGATAAGAAATGGATAAGGCAGTACCTAAGAACATGGAGCTCATGTAACCTCTCGGCCCAACATTATACTGCATGCCAAAACATGTTGAAAGTGATGACATGCCTCCTCTTTGATAATTAACTTCACTAGTTTGTTTGGAAACTAATGATATTTTGCCCTATTGAATATTTTGGCTTTTGCTAGCTTTTTAGTTTAGCAGCTCTTTCTTTCAGTGACATCTGTATGTGCATGGCCTAAAAGGTCCTTTGTAATCCATTTTGCTTCTCCCTACTTCTTCCAGGTCATTTAAAACCACTTTTCAAAAGATGTTTGCTCCGGGCATCCTTGCTTTGTCTCTCACCTCTGACCCTGGAACTTTGCATTTGATGTTCCCTCTGTTTGGCCCAGTCTTACTGCAGATGTTCCCAAGGAGAGTTCTGCCTTCAATCATTCAGGTTTTAGCTCAAATGCCATTTGCACAGTGAGGCCCTGCCTGACTATCCATTCACTCTCTACCATAGTTCCCAAGACATTTTATTATTTTAAAGGACTTACTACTAAATGAAAATCTCGTGTGTGTGTGTGTGTGTGTGTGTGTATAAGCTTTTTTTAAATGCAATATTTCTTTTTTTTAAAATGCAAGCTTCTAGGATGCAGGGACCCTGTCCATCTTGTTGAGTGTGCTTTCCTACTGCCTAGAATAGTTCCTGACACATAGTGGGTGCTCAGTAAGTATTTTTGGTGACATAAATGAATCCTAATTATCTAAGATCCCCCAACATTTTAGCTCATGGCTCTGACCTATTCACTCAGCTCCTTAATGCTCTCCATGTTTGCCCTGCATTTTCAAAGAAAGGACTGCTCCTTTTATGCAAATGCTTCCAAAAGGAGGACTGATCCTGAGGATGCACTATTTCTTTAGTGATCAAAGAACTTCCCCATTAGTGGCCACCAATTTTCTGCAAGTACAAGGGTAGCATGGCTTCCCTGATGCCCCTGTCTCAGCCTAGCCTGGCCACTAGCTTGATGCCACTTCCCTCAGTAAGGAAGGTTTTCCATTGACTGCATCTGAGGACATGACAGCTCCTACGAATCACTGTTATGACTCCTCCACACACGTGGCCTGTGATAAACTCATGGGGCTAGGATAATCTCTCTTCTTTTCAGCGCGACTCCAATGACATCCTCCACCATAGTTGTAGGAGCAGTAATGCTAATACATTGAATAGTTGCCATTCGCCTTTGTACTATGTGAGTGCTTTACAGCCATTTTAAAATTTAATTACCTCAAAAAAATTTAATTACCTCAACAAACACAGAGAAAAACTCACACATTATAATTACCATTTGACAGATGAAGAAACTGAGATTCAGAACGATTAAGTCACTAGCCTAAGGCCACCCAGTTGGAAGGTGGCAGGTTGGAACTCCATCCTGTTACAGTTGAACTCCATGCCTTGATCAGCTCGCTAACCCTGCTCATCGGCCAGTGTGGACTGCCCCACAGTACTTTCTGGGACTGCCTGAAATAGC